CATGCCCACGCAGCTTTGCATATACCGTATACATAGGGGAGCCCAATTAAAGTCATCTCTTCTTCCCCAGCCAAGGAGGATGGCTCCATGAAGTGTGTTTGCTCGCAGTGGAACGACAACAGAAAGATTGACTTGTTTGCCTTTGCTGCTGGTTTCAGTTCCGTGCCTGCTCATTAAAAGCTTCCCGCATGAGAGCCAGGGAGATTTAGCAAGTAAATATGAGCTTCAGATGAAAACAAAGGAAGTTGGGATTTGGTTCATTTGGATGACTAGCAGCATCTTCCCAGACCATGCATATTGCATTAGGATAGATTGGGGATCTTTAAAAATATCCCTTGTTTCCTTTGTAGCCACCAAACAAGGCAACATCTCTCTGAATCAGGTCCTGGTAGCTCTTGGCCCAATTTTACAGGGACTTGTGATTTTTCATGAACCCCTTAAGATATATTACGTGGACCCGGTCTCCATACAGGGCTGAGCATCTGCCTTCATAGACCAACTGCCTTTAGGCATCACAAGCTGCGGCCTCTGAAACTGAAACACCCTCCAATCACCAGTCACTTGTGGAAACCTCAGCCCGTGAATTTGACTTTCATTCAGAGTTTCCCATCAGTAGCTGGACTCCTCTTCCCACCAGCTCCGGTGGCTAAGGGATGGCTCTTGTAAGCGAATACAGCAGGCGCACGGCTTATGACAGGAGGCCCTGATCTCACTGTGACAGCCAGCAGCATGGAGTGCCATTGATCCCAGCAGGGGTCCTAGCTGGACGAGTAATTCCCTATTCCTTATTCCCTTTGCTAAGTCCCTGGCATAAATGGAAAGGTTATTTAGTATTTCAGAGTGCCTGTAAGTCTGCCCAGTGCCTCACAGCTAGCGAACACTAAGCCAATTTCTGTGGAAGGGCTGGAGCTGCTCAAACTGTTCGCAATGCTGGCAAAGCTGGCAGATTTTTTGGTATAGAAATTTCAGAGTATTTGGCCCAGAACCCCTCTCCCCCCACGACCATTTCTTTCCAAGCCACTCTTTTCCTGATCTGAGATTTGAGAGAGAGAACATGCGTTGCATTGGAAAGGCGACAGCTCAGAGGTCTGTGATTCTGCAGTTACCCTGCTGGGTCCCGTGTTCATCTTTGTGTTATATGCAGTTAGCATCATGGACTGGGAGTCTTCCAAGGGGCCGGCTCTCCCTTGCAAATCCCAAGAGCAAAATGCAGACAGAGCTGTAAAAATGGGCTTTTAGGAATGACTGAAATAAGGGGTGAGCTAGCGGTCTAGTGGATGAAGTCACAGAAGCCCATTTCGAGCTATGAAGTAACAGGAGTAGCCATTCCTTCTGCAGGGCAGGACCAGGAAGGAAGACTTGGACAGAAGGATCACGTGAGCATCAATAGATTTTTCTGAAAGAACTACTCTAGGAGAGTACATAAAAGGGTTTTTATTTCTTAATTGTCTGAGCATTAACAAGCACGGCTCCAGGGGGGAACTAGATGTTTTCAGGGACATGTGCACAGGAGAAAAGAAATGCGATGCTTAATTATGGTTTCGGGGCTGGCAGAGCCAGAAGGGTCCAGGTTCTGACCCCCCAGCCAGCCTGGGGGGAGGAAGTTTGTCTCTCTGTCACCAAGTACTTTAACAGCCAGAGCCACTCTCCCCTTTGTTACAGAAAACCTACGTCAGTGCCGCTGGCTCAGCTGTATTCCCTTTCTCTGCTCCAACCCATTTACAGCTAAGGATAGGATCTGGAGCCACTTCATCTGGCAAGAATCCTGAGGGCATGGGAAAAATATTTATAAATAAGCTTATCTAACTCTTGGTCTCAGTGGGCACTGGGTTTTTAATTCCTATCATGTTTGACAACTTATTCTCTTTCATGCCAACCTCTGAATGCCCCTTGCCGGATGCCAGAGGCATGCAGCACTGACGGAAACCCTGCATGCTGCAGAGAGGCTGCCCCACGTCACCTGGGAGATGGGCAGTAACACTGAGCTCTCCTCCTTGGCTACATATGCCTGCACACTTCCAAAAGCAGACCCATGGCAGGCTGCTTGTGCAGAATAACAAAGCTGCTGGGTCTAGAGGGGTTGGCAGGAGTGGAAGTCCAGAAGGACAGACCCCTAGGAGAAAAGGCTGAGGTCACCTGTTGTCTGCAGGAGTTTGGTAGACTGGAACAAGTGGGGAACTCAGAGCAAGAGTGATGAGAAAGCACTGGTCCCACCTCAGCCAGGGAGAGACAGGGGTGCTCTCGCTTTGCTGTTAGCAGAGAGGGAAAACCACACAACCCCCTCCTCCATCTGAAATGTTACCCCCTGTCTTATAAACCAGGGCATCCTGTATTGGATCATAATTGCAGCAGTGGGACTCTTTCTCCCCTAGCTGGATTGCAGTTGAAAATGGATGACTGGAGGAAGCTGGCTGATTCCTTCCCTGGCATCACACCCCTGCAATCGATGGAGGGTCACTGGGCATGATTTAATGCCGACTATGTAAGAGCTGGTGATTTCTTGGCAGTTTCTTGAGGACAGTCATCACGCTCTTCCTCCTGGCTCCAGCCAGACTCCATCTAAGGCAGCAGGGCTCTCTGCGTGCTCACAGCCAACTGCAGCAAAGTCATGTCTGTCTTGGAGCAGGGTGGGGGGGAATGACCTAGTTTCCTGCTATCTCCATCTGCTGCAATGAGCTGATTAACAGCGTTTTGGAAGGAACAAGCCCAGGAGCGTGGTGCGTGGCTCTGGATGCCACCTTCTTCGCGGCCTCAATTCCCCAAGGCGAGTGGCACAGCAGCCAGAGGGAGTGCTCACATGCTGGGCAGTACGTGTGTCCCGTTGTGCCTGCCCAGACAGGGACTGGAAACTTGCCAAGAAGCCAGAGCAAGACTGTATTTATAACAAGCTACCTGGTTATTTTTCAGATGCTTTTAGCCTCCTATGTGTGGAAGTCTGGGAAATGGTACCATTGGTGTTGATGGACATCCCTTCCTAACCTATATTCATGTCACCGATTATTCCTCCCCAGATGAAGCGCTCTGCATTTATCATTAATATATGGGGAAACATGTTGGCCAGCTCTTCAGCGGTCACTGCAGAGAAGCCAGAGATGGAGCAAAGCATGGGAATTGGTTTCTTCCTCACCCTTGCTTGGAAAGTGCCGAGGCAACCTGTGCAGAAACTGGTTCTGCTCCCTGCACCCCATCCTTCTGTGTGAACAAACCAGAGATCTTCGTCCTTAGGGCTGTTGAATATAATAGCCTCATCTGTATCCCCGTCATCCTATCCCCCTGCTTTTTAGAAGGAGCCCAAAGCCAGGAAAGACTTTGGGACGAAAACTACTTAGAGTCCAAGAGTCAGGCAGAGGTGAGAAGACAGGCATCAAAGTAGTGGGAGCTTTTACAATATCTTGCCTAAATATATAAGATCAGGGGACTGGCAAGCTCAAACACATGTGAGGACAGAGAGATGCAAGGGGATTTGAAGGAAGCAGACAGCAAAAAGGAAATGGTGAGGGCGAGCACAGAACAAGCCTAGGAAAGAACATCCTGAAACTAGGAAGGAAATCCAGCTCCTTCCAGCAGTTTCAGCCGAGGCTCTGTTCAAAGTCAGAGCTTTTTATTTAATATACAAGGCAACAAAACCTGAAGATGTTACCATGGGAACGATGCAGTTAATGGTAGCAGAAGCCGGGACATCTGGTTTTATCATCCAACTGCTCTTCCAGCCAAGCTGGCTCTTTCCTGGGAGCGGGGGAGCAGGTTGTGACTTTGGGGGCCCCCTTTATGACTCTTCCTTAGATGCATCAGTGGCCGTAATCTGTGTGAAAACATTTGTGCTGGAGGGATCGCCGTGCAGTGAAATCCAGCGACTGGCAGATTCATTCCTGCAATGGGATCTGCTCAGATCACAGAGGTCTCCCCATGATTTGTGTGATCCAACTATGATGGCAGTGAATCAAGAGGAAAGGGAGTAGGGCAGTTGAGGGATCAGATAGTTAACCACATCAGTAACAAGGGAGTTAATTGCAGTGTCCTTTGTTCCTGGGACTTACCAGGGATGCCAGAGAAACCAGTAAATTCTTTGTGAAAAACACAAGGCTTCCCTTGATATTTGCAGCAGCCACTGAACAGCTAGTGACCCTGCTGGGGCTGATGGAACATAATAGCTTGCGTTTGGGTAGTACATTTTATCCCAGAGGATCTCCACAAACCGAGTAAACTCCAGCTTGGCTTCTTAGGGCAAAACTTCCCGGTACATGATTCATGCACATGCGTGCGGGTGAATATAAGGACGTGTATGCAGAGGTTCACGCACACGCATTCAGTGTCTCCTCCTCTGGTGGAAGAAGCAGCTGTTAAACTGTGCTCAGTCGCACAATAGTGTAGGCTGAGAAGTGAGAATCATGTTGATTCTCTGATGAGTCTCTCTTTTTTTTTTTTTAGTGAATTCAGTAAAGATATCATAGTTTAGGGTTTATCTGTTACCGTTTTAGGACAGTGTAGCACTGCTTACACCTTTCCATGCCCTGAATTACCCGTGGGGCTTCCTCCAGAGAATCCTGCTCTGTGTTTAATTCTTGGTGGAGAGATTTCTTAGGGCGTGTCTACACGTGCGCATTTAATGCACATTAGCCCAATTGAAGGTGCATTAAGGGCCCTTAATGCGCCCTTCATGCACCTTAAAAATGGCAATTTAAGGCTATTCAAGCTTAAATTTGATACCTGCATAAAGCAGGTATTAAATGTACTTGCAAATAAATCGCATTAGCAAACGTGTAGATGTGCTAGTATGCACTAACACGTTGTGTGTCCATTGACTTGGGACTAACTTTAGTACCAAGTCAGTCCACATTCCTGTGTTAATGTGCATTAGCACGTGCATGTGTAGATGTGCACCTAAGTCACCTTAATGTGCATTAGGCTAATGCGCATTAGGTTTAGGTGGGTGTAAAAGGGGCTGACCAAACTAAAACCAGTGCATTAAAAAGGATTCTGACTCTCTCCTTTCCTTCCAGAATACTGAGTGCCTGTCAGGTGCCCGATGACTTCCATGCACGCTTCTCTGCCTTGTCAAGAACCTACATTTACCGGCTAGTGGTGGGCTGCTCTTACAACTCCCAAATACCTGTGTTTGAGAGAGATCTGTGTTGGGCTCCCAGAGGAGAGTAAGTATAAACTTCCTGGGAAAACATGTTCTTTGACTGAATGGACATTCTTCTGTTTGAATGGGATTTTGTTAAAATTTGGAGAGTTTCCAGGTGTGAGACCAGATCCCCAGCTGGTGTGCGTCTGCATTTCAGTGCTGAGGCTAGTGAAACCCTGCTGAGCTACACCGGTGAGGATCTAGCTCTGCATCCCTCTTTCAACAGGATCCGAGTTCACTTCAACGATGGGCTTAGCTTACTAATAACCAACGGCAGAATATCTCCAGTGACTCAGTTCAAAAGCCGAGACCCTGTGACCAATGTTCTCAGCAGTGCTAAGGCACAGAAAACCACAGTGCGGCTCGCCAGAATAACTTTTTGCGTCCTCCGTAAAAAGTGAGAGTCATCTAAATGGACATTTTCATTGATCCATACAGTGAATGATCCACACTGTGTCAGTCAAGACACAGTGATCCCACAAGAGAGGTGGGGTACCGAAAAAAGATTGTCAAAGTTCAAGCCTCCAGCTCTTAAAAATTTTTTTTTTTTTTTTGGCCTCTGAAGATCACTGTAGTTCTTTTCCCTGGTTACATGATGTAGTGCTGGGTACCAGAATAATAATGAGTGAATGGCACAAGCCAGTGACTGGAGCACTAGATGCAGCCCAGTCCTTTTATGCTACCCTACACTAACAGAGCAGTGGGTATAGTGCTAGCCAACAGGCCCAGGGCAGTGAAGAAGTTATTGCAACTTAGTGCTGCTTGGGAGCACTTCCTAACTTAGTGCTCCTTAATAAGGTAGCAGTGAATGTGCAGTAGGGGATAAAAATGGTGTTGAAGGAACAAGATGCCAGGTTCCAACTTTTAAGGCATTAGGAACAGCGAATTAAGCAAACATTGATGAAGAGAGCCTGACATTATCTTTTTTTAACCAGGATATACTGAAATAATTATACATTCAAGACAAATGGAGATTTTTCATGACGTTGTAGTAAAGTTGTTTTATAGTTTCTGAGCCAATTACAATAGTTTGGCCACCACTAATGGAATAACTTCACATTTTTTTCATTACCAGCAACAATCCCAGAAGTTCCAGCAGAGGAATGAAGATAACATTGTCCCTACGTTAAATATGTGGGTTTCTTTTCTGTGGGCTACGAAGGGGAAAAATCTACTTGAAATTGTTAAATTATATGTTGCATGCATCATAGACCCTAATCTCAGGTTTTACGAAATGCCATTTAATTTAGCCCAGATGCTGCAGTTAAATTTTCTTAAATGGCAGTACCACACAATGGGTAGGGACAGCATGTAACAAACTCTGAGTGGGAGGCAAATTACTAACAGCACAAATCCTTACTCCAGATGAAAGCAGGGGGTAATTCCCACTGGCTGCACGAAGAAACTGAATTAACCCATAAAACCCCCATGGTCCATAAGTGTATTTTACGGAGGTGATTAGGTTAAATTCCCTTAACCTGACTCCCATCCCTTTACCACCAGTAACAATGTTAAGAGCTGTTTGGGACTCGTTTTAACTGCAGGAAATTTTAATGAAAAAGGTCTTTGTTGAAATGTGTCAGAAAGTGTTTGAATTTTTGTTGGAAAACTAAAACATTTCCACCCAAATCAAAAAACATATTGCTTTTTCAACAATAAATAATAAAAAAAAGATTGAAAACAGACACGTTCTGTGATAACTTCCATTGGGGGTAAAATAGCCTCCCCCCAAACCCTTCTAATAAAAAAACTGAGATTTTTTTCTGAGCTCTTGAGAGTTGAAGGGTGATTGGAAGACTTTGTTTGGCTTTCTGCTCTTCATGCTATTTGTTCAGGAAAGATCTGTCTAAGATGCTGCTTGGACAGTTTTAATGGGAGTACCTGGACACAGAAGTCATCAAAATCCTTGGATAGATACTCCCATCTGCCAGGTTACAGGCTGTTAGAGGGGGGCAGAATTTACATCTGGATCTAGACTCTGGACATCCCTGGCATCAAAGCCGTCCCGCACTTCAGTGTCTGGTTTGGGCTGCTGCAGGATAACCAAACTCTCTCTTTCCTAGAAAAATTCTAGGCTATTTGAGCCTGGGACATGGGTTTGGATTCATTTTCCAGCTGAATTGAACTTTGACCCAATGACATTGTTGATCAAAACCTCCCCTGGCCACAGGCCTGCTTCCCGCCTCCTTCTTCTGGTTCTTATACCTGTGTCTGTTATTTCAGCCACCTGAATGTGCCAGCCACGCAGGAAGCTGTGCAGTTCCCGCTGGGCACCCACGATTTCAGCGCTTTCCACTCCATCTGTGCCACCATGCCTCCCAAGTCCCCAATTAAAACCCTCATTCACGTAGACCTCAGACCCTTTTCCAGCTTCCTGTCGTACCACTACATACAGAGGTAAGACTCCAGGGAGCTTCTTTGATCATTCACGTTGACTCAAGACCCTAGCCCTGCCAGGAGACAGATTTTTCTGCTCCTTCCTTGGCTTTGCCCAAAGGCTGCTCATACAGAACCCATCCAGCGGCAAAGCCCTGCTTTGGCTGACTCTGCCATTCACTCTGGCCTAGTTTGTTACTGTTGACTTCCCCATGGAGCCATGTGATTGCAGGTTGAGCATTGGGGAACCCAGAAGTCTTCTGATTGCCGTGAAACAGAAAATGTTTCAATCCTCCGTGGCCCTCAGGGCCTGTGCTGAGATGAAGGGGGTAGATCAATGGTGCCTCAATTGCAGCTGCCAAGCCACGTGTGTCTTCTACATGTCATCTTTGGCTTTGTGCGGAAAATGCTCTCAAAGGCTTTCGTTTGCTGCATGCCTTGGATTCGTCTTTCTTGCACTTGGTAAACACCAAAGAGGCTTACTGCTTCTGAAATCTTATCTCCTGCTGGGCGATGCAGGAGTTAAACTGATGCTCTGCAGTTCTTGTGTCCTTTGAACTGGGGTGTGTTTGCCACAATTTGCCTGGACAAGTTTGTATTTCTGTGGCCCTTTGACTAAAACTGAGTCAGGCAGGACTGAGAATCGCTGGGCTAGATCCACCCTCTGTTTAGCTCAGCATCCAGGCTGCTGCATTGAAAAGGGTGGGAATCTTCCTGGAAGGGCACTGAAAATGCTTTAAGGCGGCCCCAGACTCTTCCCTGCTGCATATGGGGCTTTTGTGGTCCTGGAACTGCAGTGCGCAGCACTGCCCAGTGGATGCCAGCTTAGCCTTTTGCCACTGCTTGGCTCTTGCGAAGTGTGGGTACAACCTAAACGCCCTTCCCCTAGGGAGAGTGGGATCCTCCTCGGCAGAGGAAGGTGCTTTCTTTCACTCTTGCTGGTTTGCCTTTCAAAAGCAAACTGTGCTGTTTTCTGTTTCATAGCCACATTTTCCTGGTTTCAGAGGGGGAGGAAGCCCCCAGCTTTGTAGCTTTGCAGAGTGACCCTCCAGTAGATTCCACTACCCTCCGAGCCGTCGGTACCAATAAGTACCATCTTCTGAGCACCGCTGACCACTCACTGCTGCTTGCAAATAGCCCACTGTTGTCTCTCACTCTCTGCCTCCGTTACATACTTTGCCAGCAGCATCAGAGAAAGAACTAAGGACACTTGCAAGCAGCATCTGAGTGCACGCTTAGCAGCTTTTTCCCACCCCCTTGTTTGCATCGCAGGCTGGGAGGGAACAGCCTGCTGTTTCATTCATCATATGATTTACCAGGTTTGCTGATGAGTCAGACCCCTGGGATGGTCAGCTGTGTGCTCGACTCCAGACACCAGAATGCATGGGGGTTTTGCGTCCCTCATCCTCTGCTTTTAAAGAGGGAAGCCTCAAACCACCTTGAAAAGGTTCCTGGTGCAAGTTGGTTTGCCTCTGTTTTCATAGGGTGCAAGATAAGTAAGACTGTAGCTGTTGCCTGGGTCAGGTAGGTTAACCCAAGTAGGACTGGGCTTGTTCTGACCAAGTGGGGGTAGTTTGAGGAACAGGTCATTGGTTGGGGTCACCTGGCTTATAGGATAAAAGGGATAGATGGGGCTGGCCTGCATGCCCAGAAGGAAGCTGTCTTGCAGCTCATGTTTTAAATGAAGAGAAATGGCAGGCTGTGTTGGCAAGGTATCACAAAGCAATCGGGGTTTATAGAGCTTAGCCACTGGAGGGAAACCACATGCACAGGCCCGTTCTCTCGGCATGGCAGTCAATCTCCTCTGCCTGGTCTTAACCTTGGCCAGCACGCTCCACTGGGCAGCTGAATAAGCTGCTCTTCCAAGGTGATCATGGACATGGACACCAAGAGAGACCTGGGCTCCATCAGGCTGCAGCATTACTGCCACCTCTCACTCTCCCCGGCAGGACGTGACATGTATGCTCAAGAACAGCACCACAGGGTGAAACACCCAGGTCTCTAAGATCCCCACCGCAAAACCACATGCCTTAGAGCAGGGGTGGGCAATTATTTCGGCTGCAGGACCGCTTAATGAATTTTAGTGAACTGTCAAGGGCCTCACACATAAAATCTTTCAGAAGATAATCATTTTAACAAATTATAAGTTTAAAAAAATCATATACAAAAAAAGTCAAATATCTACTATAACGTATTTTAATGTTATCTCAAAAAATAATTTTTGTCCTGATTTATGTTTTTTGAGTAGTGTATATAGCAGTGATTGCATAACAGCTCAAAGTAGAGTCTTACTCTTGTATATTGTGTGTGTGGGGTGGGGGGCTTGATGTGTTTGTGGGGCAGCTAGGTCCCAGGAGCCAGTTGCAGAGGGGGGAGGAGGAGAGGGCCCACATGCAGCAGAGGTCACCTGGACGGTGCAGGTGCAGGTGCAGGTGAGGTCCATGCACCCCCCATCTGCCCTGCGGCTGCCCCCGCAGCACTCCACGTGGGGCCGAGCTCCACCTGCTCCTGGCTGGGGCAGCCCACACTGCACTCCCACCTGTGTCTGCTGGCCCTGGCCAGTGTGCGCAGCTTCCCAGCGGGGCTGCAGCCACCTGGGTACTGCTTGGCTCCCCACACCTCCAGTGCTTCCTTGCCTCCTCCTCCTGTCCCTGCTGCGCCACCCTAGGCAGGGGCAAAGCTGCAGCTCTGTGGGTGGAAGGTGGCCGAGAGCTTGAGCTGGAGCCCTGCACAGTGGGGCACGAGCTGTTTGGCTGCAGCTTGTCCCCCACCTCCCCCAACCTAGCTGGGCAGCTGCTGCCCACTACTTGCTCCCACAGCTTCCCTGTGCTGCCTGCTGCCCAGAGCGGAGAAGCAGGGGCAGGAGGAGCCACTGGAGGCTGGGGGAGCTGAGCGGTACGCAGGCGGCTACAGCAGAAGCGGGAGCAGCCCTGCTGGGAAGCTGCACACTGGCAGGGCTGGGGCCGGGGCAGGCAGGAGTGCAGTGCAAGCTGCTCCAGGCAGGAGTGGGTAGGGCTCAGCCCCATGCAGAGCACTGCAGGTCAGATACAGTCAATTGGCAGGCACTCACCCATGGGCCAGATCCAATCAGTTGGAGGCCGGATTCGACCCACGGGCCATATTTTGCCCACCCTTGCCTTAGAGTGTGCTTGCACCACATACTGTGTTGTAAAAGTAACCAGGCTAGCAGGTAACTTGGGGAGCTGGGAGCTGCCTTACCCTGGTGGTATGGCGCTCTTCATGAGCAAATGCACTCTGCAAGTCTGCTTCTCTTGTCTCCGATCTGTGAACCTGTGGGTTTCCAATGTGGGTCAGCTCTTTTTCTCTGCGTGTGCGTGCGCTTGTTTTTAATTTAGCCCTGCTGATTTCAATTTGAAAAGGGACTTGGCAGTTTCTAGTATATCTTGCTACAATCCATCCCATGCTTTGCCAAAATAGTTTGAGCGAACCTAAAAGCTGGATCAGAAACATCAAGCTCGTGGCTGGAGGGATACTTCTGCCATATCCTGTTGACACAGAGTCAAGCTTGTGTTATTTGATGAGTCACTTTCACAATGCTGCACTGTTAATTTATTTAATGAGCATTTAGGCTCTTGTTGAAAAGAAGCTGATTTCATTGGGATTTAGGTGTTTAATTCCCTTAGACTCCTTTGACGAGCTTGGTGTTAATGATCAGTCTTAATATTATTTTTTTGCTTTAGGGAGGATGCAGAATTCTGCACGTGGCCAGGGAGGGCTGGTTTTGGTAATGGTGAAAGTTAATCTGTAAACAGTTCCCTAGGGGGACAGGTGGAGAAGCAAAACTCAGTACTCACCATTTCCAAACATTGAGCTGTGTCCATAAATGAGAGCGCAGCTGGGTGCATTTCTTTATCGATGTATCACTGTGACATGAACTTGCACAGAGAGGCCCGGGCGTCTGTTTACAGCATATAAAGAGATTTTCAGACTAATCTAAGGAGATTTATTTTATTTTCGAAGGGTGGAATACAGAGAATGATAAACCATCATCTCCCAGTCAAATAATGCAGCTTTTCTTTCTATTTGTTCCTTCGCTTCCAAACTAAAACCGAGCCTCTGAATTGACCACTTGTCTGTCTCAAAGGGCAACTGTTGGAACGGTTCCTTCCATCAAACTCTGCATCGTCTGGCAACAGTGGAAGTAAAGTTAATGCTTCATCTGTACGAAACCCTCCTGAATGCAAAGCCATGTTGGAGATTTCATCCCATCACTTATTCCTTGGGAGTAACCGTTCCATCACCTGTTTGTCGATGAATATGCATTATTCATTGCAAGGTGCTGGGTGCTGCCAAGCTGGGTGCTGCAGCCCAGAGTATTGCTGATAAGCAGAATAATGGGTGGTATCAGCAAGAAAAAGAAAGTTCTCCTTGATGACAAAGAAAAGGAAAAGTCCAGAGAATTTAATGGAGAAGCAGATTCTTCCCCTAGGTCAGTGATTCTCGATCAGGGCGCTATGACATCCTGGGTGCCTTGAGATCTGTGGGGTGCCATGTAGTGTTAGTACTGTTAGGTGTGCAAACTTGATTCAAAGTAAACCCAGAGATTTCAAGTAGGAATCCAAAGTGTTAAAAACATTTTGCCCCGTTGTGGGCTTTCTGAGTGCTTTGCAACAGAAGAATTGCTCCTGTAGTCAGAGAAAATGAAAACTAAGAGCTGGCATTTTCTGAAGGGTGGCTCAAGTATATCAACAGGTGCTTCATATCTAAAAAGGTTGAGAACTACTGCTCTAGCGTGTTTCAACTCCTCTCATTTAGCTTAATTGAGAATGCAAGCTCTTCTTAGCGAAATCTATAGGCAAGCTCTGAAAACTGACAGAAGGTCTCGTTCTTCTTTCAGGTCTGTAGGTGTAGAGAGTAATTTATGTAGCTTGATATTGGTGTTGTCCTTATTTATCCTATTTGACTGAGTACAAGGCATCCCCTAGTTCTGATTTGGGAGTTTAAGTTTCTTAGGCAATCCCAGCACAGGTCCCCAGAAATATGGGGGAGGTTTTCAATAC